TTTCAAGTAATGCTTTAGCTATATTAGAAATAAATATCAAACGGCAATCTTTACACTGTCAATGTGTTGTTAAGCTTTAATGCATAATCCCATGCGCATTACTTGTGTTTTTGACTGTTTGATAACAGCTTGGTGCAACTGTCTTTCTTGAATAGATGGGTAAATCTTAGTTAAAACGTCCAAAAGGAGTTAGAAAAGTTAGCTTACCCCTACGACTTAAGTCGACTGGAAATATATTATAAGTAGGTATGTAATTTTTTGAGTTTTTTGGTAGAATTGATTCTGGGTGTCTTATAAAGTATTATGATATTCTGATAAATCTACTGAGAACTTATGAAGAAAATATCTTGAACTAGGAGAGCAAAAGAACGAAATTCAGAAATTCTATAATCATGTTGCTGGTTCTGTTTTGAGCCAAGATATTAGAAGCTGGATTGTCATTGACAACCATGGATCTACTACTGAACAGAACTACATTAATTTCCCATTGAAAATAATGATTTCATAAATTAAAGTGCATTGGTTTCTCTGACATAACACTTTTCTTATTGCTGCATGAAGGCAAATCTGTTTAAATAATTATAATGTAGGTGAAGATATTTAGCATGTTGTATAATTGATATTGTACAGTCATTATTTATAATATTATGGCCTTGTGTAATGTATGTCAAGAAGAACTTATTAATTTTAAAAAATGCTAACCTTCTTGCACTACTTTTCTCTTGTGTCCTTACAAATTGCAGTTACCTATACTAATTTTTCTAGGTTCAAACAACTTGACAAACTTTTGTACATTATGCCTTTGAATTTTTGTTTTCATCTTTTGGTAAAAATATCAGTGAATGACTTAAAAATCAAGTTTATATAAAATAGTATTTTGTACAAAGAAACTATACATAATTGAAAAGTCTCATGTTGAAAACAGATGTCGCTTCTTTTACTAGATTGCTACTCTTATTCTTTTAAATGATATAATAATTCTTCAAGACATAAAAGTTTTTGCCATCAATTTTTGCTTGTTCCACATTCAACTTCATTGCAACCAATGCATCTTATGTGAATTTTAATCACCTGGAATTGAAAAATGTATGGATTTTGTCAGATGATGCAATACTATATTTAATGTTTCATGTCATCATAATAAGCTTATCTTGAGCAAATATTTCAAGGTAGGAGCATAATTTGGCACATTATTGAACAAAGTAGTTTTTATCTTGATTTTGATGTACTAACCTGTTTACTACAACAAACAGTTCACTTACAGAAACACCAGATGGCATTTATAAAACTTTTAGCAAAAAGCAAACCTTAACACACCATCATCAAGATTGTCCATAATCTGTCAAATTGTCCAGGCTAGCTGTTTAATACAGGTATTTTTATTGTACGACATGTACCAAAGAGCTCATTAATTAATCCTGCACTGCATTTGATTTCAATACAGCTCTGATCTTAATATTTGCTTCATATTTTCAGAAAAATATCATGAAAAATCCTCCATTTCAACTCAGTTGAAACAAGGAGTTTTAAGATATGCATATCTCGATAAGAACTGATTGCTTTGCCTCGTCTAGCAATCGATTAAGTAAAGAACAAATAAGACTGGATAAACATAACTTAAATTATAACTTAGGAGTAAAACATTCACAAAATATATGCCATCACACTTCAAGTATTGACTTAAAACAAAACACTAAACACTTTAAATAGTACACAATCTTACGTTGCTTACCGGTGTCATGAAATGTTTCCTTTTCTGGCATTACTTCAGCATCCGTATACCAAACAGGTTTGCAGCATGTTTTAAAGATAAAATTTCTAAAGTTTTTGAGCTTGGCATTGATATTTTATATAATCGCAATTGTGGTTGTCAAATCCGGGTGGGCGAAAAAAATTTCATTTTATGAGCCCGCGTCTTTCCGCTGACTTTGACAACCAAAATCCGCCATGTTTTTGACCACGCGGCCGTGCGATAATAATTTATAGTAATTTTGATGACGTTTCCCCTCCAGGTCTTATAGAACTCAATGGATGTAATGTTTCCCGATTTATCATGGATGTCACGCAATATGGCGGCTCGTTAGCAATCTAGTCCTACTCATTGAGCTCTATAAGACCTGGAGGGGCATAGGGGCCTCGGCCTCGTGGTCAAAAACATGGCGGTAATGGCGGATTTTGGTGGTCAAAACTTCCACTTTAAAATTTTTTCAATATTCACTCCTCCTGATTTCTAATACTGTTTGTATGAACGAAAACAAGTGAGAAAAAACAATTACGATACCGACAGCATATCATGTGAAAATAATGCTTTAGCATTGCGTGAAAACACAGTACAGACACACATCAAAATAAAGAAAATCGACGGTAGAGAACGCATATTTTGGATGTAACATTTAAGTTATTTTATGACATTTTAGCCTTTTAAAAGTGAAAATCAAACGGCATTCTTTACTAGACCTGTCAATTTCGTCAAACTTATGCATTATTTCATGCTTTTGTGTGTTTGACTGTTTGTAAACAGTTTGGTGCAACTATTTTTCTTGCTTCAAATGGATAAATCTGTGTAAAAATGCTCCTAAGGAAGCGAGAAAATGTTTGCTTCAGTCCTACGACATAAGTCAACTAAAAAATTTACCATGGATAAGTATAAGTGTATTGTCATTACCTGATAAATCTACTGAAAACGCATAAAGAAAGTATGTTGAACTAGAAGAGCTACAAAAAAGAAAAAAATTCAAAACACCATGACACTGTTGCTTGGTAATTTGTATTTTGTAAACAGCTTGGCAGAATCTTGGATCTATTACTGAACAGAACTACATTAATTTTCCATTGAAATTACAAACTTGGAAACTAAAGTGCATTGGTTTCTCTGACAAAAACACTGTCTTTAAATGAAAGTAAATAGTTATTTGACAGTGTAGGTGAAGAAATTTATCAAGTTCTATAGATATTATTGTGCATTACTTACAGTTTGCTAAAATGCTAACCCCTTCGAGCACTACTACTCTTCTGTTTTGCTTAAACAACTTACAGCTACCAATACTAATTATTTATATGTACAAACTAACATTTGGGAATTAAATGATAAACAACTAGTTAAATCTTTGTATTTTACATCAAGCCTTTGAATTATTTTTTTTATCTCTTGGTAAAAAAATATTAATAAAAGACTTACAAATCAAGTTTCTCGAAAATAGTATTTTCTACAAAGAAACTAAATAATTGGAAAGGTCACATGTTGAAGACAGACTTTGCTTCTTTGACTAGGTTGCTTGACCATGAGCAAATTTAAATTTGTTTACAATTTGTTTAAAGAATTCTTTTATTGATTTCTACTAATTCTTCATAAGACACAAAGAATTTCTTTGCCATCTATTTTGCTTCTTCTACATTCAACTTCATTGTAACCAATGCATCTGATGTGAATTTGTGGATCACCTGGAATCATACCAAGTATGGATTTGATGAGATGAGACAATAATATGTTTAATTTTTCATGCATATTAATGATATAATCATAAGCTACTGTTGAACAAAAATTTCAAGGTAGAAACAAATCTTAGCACATTGTTCAACACACTACTTTTATCTTGGTTTTGAAGTATTAACCTGTTTACTATAACAATAAATACTTCATTTACAGAAACGCTAAGTAGTATTTTAAAATTGTTTGCATAAATCCAACTTTCCAATCTCATTATAATTGTCTACACTATACAGTCAGTCAAATTGAGCAGGCAAACAGTTTAATAGTTATTTTTATTATACAACATATACCATAGTTCTCATTAATTTTGCATGGCACTGCATTCAATTTCAACACAACTCTGTTGTAAACTTTCCCTTCATCTTTTCAAAAAACATGAACAAATTATGCCCCATTTTGGGAGGTAAACTCAATTCAAATCAAGAGAGTTTAGCTTGATGCCTTGATCATGATACAAGATGGATGCAAAACTCGATAAAAATTGACAGCTTCGCCACGTCTGGCGAGCGATTAAGTGAAGAACAAACAAGACTGGACCAAAATAACTTTAAATTAAAACTTAGTAGTAGAAACACTCTTCAAGTATCGTGTTAAAACAAAATAGTAAAACTAATACTGTGCTACTTACCGGAGTCAAGAAATGTTCCCTTTTCTGTCGCTATTTCAGCATCCGCAAACCACAAAAGTTGGCAGTTTAATAAATAAAGTTTTAAAAAAGTGTTTATGTTAGGAAAATAAATAGTTCTGATATTTTCTATACTCGCAATCGTGGTGGTCAAATCAGGGTGGGCGACAAAAATTTTATTTCATGAGCCCGCGTCTCTCCGCTGACTTTGACCACCAAAATCCGCCATGTTTTTGACCACGCGGCCGCGCGCTAATAATTTATACTAATTTTGTTGACGTTTCCCCTCCAGTTATTATAGAACTCAATGGTCCTACTATGTCTATGGTTTTTGACCACGCGGCCGCGCGCTAATAATTTATACTAATTTTGTTGACGTTTCCCCTCCAGTTATTATCATTGAGTTCTATAAAAACTGGAGCGGCTATCTCAAGCGCGGCCTTAGATATCTGATGACGCCAAAAAAATGGCGGATTTCGTCCGTTGCCGCTGAGATTTACCGAAATTGACCGCTTTTCCGAAAATTTCACAATTTCCCACTCCCTCCTGAGGAAAAAGTGAGGAAAATGTATGTGTGTATTTGGGATTTGGCAAGCAATTTTTTGATGAAAATCACGTTAAAAACCTACAATTCGTAACAGCGAGTCAACCTAGCTTTCCAGTTATCGGCTCCTACGAGGATGTATTTATAACTATCGACGAAAGAGCTATATGTCGGCTACACATCTATGAATGCAGATATGCGTCGTTTTCTTACCAAACTTGTTTGATCGATTAAACTCTTTAGTCTATACAAAAAAGTATATCATAGTTCATCTCCACAGTGGTTCACGAGAGAGAAGTTAGCTTATTTTTTATCATTGCTATTCTGCTTCTTTTCATGCAATGGGTAATGGCTTTTTGCGCCACAATTGTAGGAGTTTTACTTTTTTCTTTAAAAAAGTAAATATTAAATCTCTGGATATTTACGGATTTTCTGTAATTGAGTTTCATATGAAATTTCAAAAAGACTCAAGTCTGCATAGGTTTGGTAAATGAAAACAAACAATATTGTATAGAAATTACTTTAAGTAACCTTTTTGTGATGTTCTGAAGTGCAACTGCATCAAATACTTGTAAAGTTGTAGCACATTTTGATTTTGTTGTATTGATATATAAATTGGGCAAAATGCAAATAATCATCAAAACACTTATGCTTCCAATGGTGTTTATAATTCATTTTTAGTTTTAATACTTCTACCCTTCTTTTTCACTTTGTTTTGTTTTTCCTATATTTTCAATATAAGTGCACAATTTGAATTATTAACACAGTTTTCACTTCAATAATAAATTTCATAAGCAGTTGGTAGTGCATTTTGTTCTCTGAGTATCCACATTTGGTGTTTTCTTCATACATGAATGATGAAATGCATATGGATATGTCATAACAAGGCAATAAAACCAAATGAATTAAATACCTATAGTGTACTTTTATGCTAGAAGCTTAAAAGCTTTCTAGAAATTATAAAGTTATTGGATTATATTACCTCTATATCATGAATCTCATGAAAAGAAATAAGAAGCAAAATATTTGTAGAAAAGCTTTGAAAAGTGAAAAACATTTATTTAAAAAGCAGCAATGATGCATATGATAAATCCCATTCTGTACTCTAATAGGTAAATAAGCTCAAACTGTTCTTAAAGAAATATAAGAAATATATAAGAAATATACAGTACCGTAATTTTAAAGGTTTCATCACTGAATCTTTAATGCTTCAGTATAGTGCATTAGATATTAGTAACATTTAAACAACACTCAACTAAAATATTTTGATAAAGATATGACATGATTTAAACATTATGTTATATAAAACCCAATGGCTTATTCAGTTTAATGCTTCACATCTGCATCAAGTCATCATCAATCTCAGTACAAATGTTTACATAGACACAAACTTTATGGCCTTTCCATTTTATATGTTGTGAATTGACATTTAATTTAGAAGAGATCTATCCCCGGCTGGTATCAGGCGGTGGTTTGGAGATATTAAGGACTGGTTTATCACTCAAAGATTTGTATCTTATTACCCCTCCACCAAATATTGGATATTCTGTCCACTTTCTTCGTGATAGTTCTGGTCTAGGGCAGGCAATTGCATATATTAGACCAGTTCAAGCTGATCTAGATTCCTCATCCTTGGAAACGAAGGATCACGCTCATGCAGGAGATGCTCCAGAAAACGAGGTACTGTATTCATAGCTTTGAGTAATTTAAGGGATAAATTATTAGACAGGAAATGTTATATGTATACATACATTGTTTTTGCTAGGATATATCTATTGGACCAACAGTGAAATGCTTAAATTGTTCAGTGCAGATCCCAATGAATTCAATCAGGAATCATATGGTTGAATGTGGAATGGACAATCACCATAAACAATTTAAGAAGGTCAAGATCAATGTATGCTATAAGCTTGCATTAATTCCTATTACACATTTACTGTGAAAATGTCACACTGTTTTTCGTTCACCTACTATTTTGAAAATTGAAAGTTTTGTATCTCAGATAATATGAATAATCTTTTAACAGGCAAGTTTTTCTGGAACTTCATTAAGGTCTGAATTGCATGAAATGTTTCCTGACTTTCATGATACTACCATAGAAGAAGCTGTAAGAGTTTGTGAGGGAGACATTGAAGTGGCAGTTTCATCATTGTTGGATCACAGTAAGTACTTACATCATTATATAAAGTTCCATGTATGAGATTATCAATATATTTTGGTCGTAGCATAGACTCCTTTGAGGCTGAATGGTGGTGTGAAAAGACAAATATTTTATTTTTCATTTTTTTAATAACTACCTCCAGATAATGAATGAATTAATATGTTTATACATATAACTTCAATTATAAAGGCAAAGGAATATTACTTTAAGAGGAGATGCCTAATTATGGTGCAGTTGATACTTGATAGCGCAGACTCAGATTCAGAAAATCTTCAACAGGCAACAGCAGTTCTTCTGCAAGAAGGTATGAAGAAATTAATAGGTACATACATGCTGCTAAACACTCATAAATGCATCATAATTGCAGCATTTATCTTAATTATTTTCAAAAAAAACGAGTTTTAAATGATTTGATATAGTTTTCTTGATTGGTTAAAAATGATGCTTTGCTTCATGCATGACTTTTAGCTTGTTGTTTTAACTGGCAATATGCTCCTGCAGCACAGTTTGGTCTCAATATGAACAAAGTTGAACATGTTTATTGTGATTTTTGCATGTTGTGCTTAGGTGTAGAAGTTGTGATATTGGTAAGCTTAGTCTAACAAATACTTGCTGGGTTGTATTGCTACAGTAATCATTTGACTGGTTTTCTGTTTAAGAACAAAAGAAGACTGTCATTGAAGAGTATTGAGATGCTACAATTGTCAGTGACAGTCCAGTTTTTCGAGTTTATGTCAACCGCATGGCAAGTAACTTCGCCAATGACATTTTGGGAATTTACAAGAATCACAGTAGTAAGTTGTGTGCTCGGTTCAGTGGAAAGTTTGAAAAGGAAACTTCAGTTGGCAGTGGTCCATGCGAAAACTTTTCAGCCTAGTAATGAAAATGATTCTTGATGGTTTTCCAATGGATGGTGAAGAAAGGTCCAAAACATAAAGTTCCTGTAGCCAACTCACTTTTAAGAAGTACAGGCTTCTGTGCATTGGAAGAATGATTGCACAATCTTTCCTACATGCTGGATCACCACTATTTGGAATTTCTAAAGTAGTTGTTGATTATTTGGTATGTGACAAAGATGAGATTCCTTTAGTAGAAGTTATGGATATACCTGACATTGACCTGAGGATTGCATTGAATGAGGTTTGAAAAGTTTTATTGCATCTGAGCATTGCCTTTCAGTATTTTGTTTGAGCTAATCATGTGTTTTATGACATAGTTGAACAGCCTTGGCAAAGATGAAGCTCCTGGAACTGCATTGAAAGATGTTTTACCTCAGTACAGAGCTGAAGCTTCAATTTTAGATACATCATTCTCTGGTGCAAATCGTCATGTTATTGCCCAGCAAATCATAATACATGCTGTCATTACTCGTAGAAAATTAGAGTTGCAAGATTTAGCTGATGGAATGAATGAGTTTGGATTGGTTGATTTCCTGAAAAAACACAAAGATGTTGTTCAACCATAACTTTTTCCACAATCAACTCGATCGTAATCTGCCCCCAGAAAGTAGAACTTGTTTTCATTTGTTAGTTCTTCCATGTTATGAAAATTTTGATGAACTGAAAGCTAAACTAGATAGAACTTTGCAATTTGGTTCAAAAGGATTTACCAATATTTGATCTGGAACAGTTTATACATCTCTTTCAGCAATAACATAGCTTGTTACAGCTAATAATGATGATGCACTAAATTGAAATATTTTTATTCTTTGTTTTGGATATCATTTTTATAGTTAAAAACTTAAAGTGAATTTGTTAATGTTTCATTAAATTTTGTTCTGATAGTGCATCAGCATTTAGGTGCTAAAAAATGTTTTCTGCTAAAATGTTTGAATAATCAACATAATGAAAAATTTATAGCATTATAAAAAAAAAAAAAAAAAAAACATATCTTTTTTTGTATTATCTGAATTGACACCAACAGGTTCTTTGCAGCTCATCAAGATCTATTTCATTCAATTGAACAATCACTTGCTGCTGATCTGTTTCATGACATGTGTAGTTTTGTGTAAAGGTGCGTGGAAATTCTTGGTTTACCTTAGTGAATTGGAACATTAAATTAGATTCTGACTTCAACATACATCAATTAGCTTTGGATCCAGTGTGATGATTATAATGTAAAGTGTTATCTAAAAGTAAAGTCATGAGTTATTGCATAAAAATACCTGCTGTATATGGTCATTTGAATTATTGGCTTAGCAGGATCCTTGGATCCATAGCTGTTCAGGTGATAAATTTCTTTCTGTTCTTATGGGAGATCTATTGTAACCTTCCTGGAAAATTTCCAATTTCTGTTAATAATTCGACAAAACACATAATGCAATGAAAACACATGTTCTTCATTTGATGGATCCAATATTCTATTACTTTCCATATGATAGAATAAATGATAAAAAAGACTTGTACAACCAACAAAAAGATCTCGCCAAAAGCGCTCAATCCGTTGGTTGTGCACACTTCATCCGGTAATATGACTGCCACAACAGGGCCCTTGCAAATGGTGGTTTAACATAAATTGAGCAATACCAACATTTTCACCTCCTTTATCTGTTCTTACTCTGGATGGCAGTCCATATTGAGATACACCAGATAGAAATAGATTTAGAACAGTTTCAGCTCGATGGTTTGTGCTACAGCAAATAAATACCAGCAAACGTAAATAGCTGTCTATTCCTGCATGAGTCACAAATCTCCATTAAAAAATATGAAACTACTAGCACATTTGTATGCAAAACTGAGATTTATTAACGCCCCAAAATAGGTATTTTTAGTAGCCCACCTAATCAATTTGTGATTCCATCAACATGCCAAAGTGATAATGGGCTAGTAACATGATATTTACGTCTGTGCACTGCTCTAAGAGACAAAGCACGAAACAATGTACCCTGTGGATCAACTCTTCGCATCATTTCACGAATCCTGTCCTGCTGAATTCGCAAACCTCTTGCTAACAGCAATCCTGACATACGTTTGTAGCCAAGATTGGGAAACTCGTTCGTTAAGTTTCTTATGACCAACTCGAAATCTCTATCGTTAACGTCAAAATAACAATTAGAAACTGATTAACCAAACTCGTTCATCCTCCTTTCAATGGTTCTTTTGCTGACTCCCAGAAGATTTGCCGTATCTTTCACTGTAAAACACTTATCCAAGAAATAACGCTGAATATCTTCGTTTACTTCATACATTGGTCGCCCTAGTGTGCCACTGAAAACTTGAGGGCAGTTCAATGAAGAAGATGGATTAATATCATGATGAACATCGACATTTAAAAGTTCTATTGCGTTTGAGATTAACTGCAGAACAGCCTCTTCAAGCTCGAATACTTCAGCAAATGGCAACGTTGTATGGTAAAGAGAATCAATACGAAAAACGCAAAAATCCCGATCTGGACTTCCTTCGAGGTCAACAATACAACCCAAAATAGAGTTGCGAAGGTGTCTTACAAAGTATAACCTGTCTGCCATGTTTTAGGGTTGTAGACTTGTAGGTAATGCATGAGTCAATTCCAAGAGTTACCATCCCCCCCCGGGAATATGGCCGGGCATTTGATTTTTTTCGTTTTAATAGTTCAATTTCCCCGCTGCCGGGGAAAGGCATAAAGGCAAATACTCAGCCCCCGGGCAAGCTGCCAATGGCAAATGCCCCGCTCCGGGACCAATTAATTTTAAATTACGAAAATTAGGAACACTTTTTCCTACTTTATTAAACAAGATATATGAGAGTTCCTATAAAAAATAAATGTAGTAAAAGAAATTCGTTCCTGAGTTACTTTCCCTTGCTCCGCTTTTCTCTTGTTGCTTTTGCTTTTCCAGCAACTCCTTTCCTGTTCACAGAAATTTGCGTCAAGTGCTGAAGCCACAATTTAACATCCATTGGTTGACAGCAAACATTTCTTGGCAAGCACTCTTATGTCAGTATCCTCTACACATCCACCACTGTGATTCTTGTGAAAGTCTGCCAGTATTTTAGACGGCGGCGGGCTCCTTATAGCTTTGCCAACTGCATATAAATTTAGCAGCTCTGACACATCGGTGACATAATGCCCATAGCAAACTCACGTGCATGTTTCGCAATCTTCCCCTCCCCAAGGTCTCTTTACATCAGCAACTGGGTAAGGAAAAAACTACACCATGGTCCGTCTGGATACCAGGAGATGGGAATCGGTACTTAATGTCGCGACTCAATAGTCGCGACTCGCGTACTCAAATGGTATCAAATCCCCGGGGGTATCATTGCCGGAGTAAATACCCGGCTCCCGAGCATCTCTTTTACGAGCAAATTCCCGACCCCCGAGAAAGGTCTCCAGGGCAAATGCCTGAGGTATCCCGGGGGGGGATGGTAACGCTTGGAATTGACTCATGCATAAAACAATTGGTTTATTGTGTTTTCATTATTATCACATCAAGAAAATAAATTATAAATAAATTATAATGTGATTGAGTAAAATTTGATTTTTTGCGAGTCACGAGTAATGTTACGTCATCATAATGGAATGTTTAACAACAAAATGAGTTTTAACAGAAATTGTACAGGACAAAATCTGATTATGAAATTCCAGAATGCAATATGATCAAGACAAAATGCACGTTGCAAAGGACAAAATGCGCATTAGTAATTGAAAATATAGCTTTTAATTTTGGCGGAGATCACCCTCCATAGATTTAAAGATAATCCGATGTTTTCCGAATATTTCCGAGAGTTTTCAAAATTTCCAACGTTTTCCGAAAATGTCCGAATTAATCCGTTAACGTCCGATCTTAAAAATTAGATGTAATATGAACTTTTTGCCATCTTCGTGAACTTTTGACGCAAGCGAGCATGAATATTTTAAAATTTCAAAACTTTGAAAATGAACTAAAAATGAGTTTATTTTCTTTGTCTTTCTCTGTTTATTGCAAATAAAACGTTATCCACTCTGTGGCATTTTGTTGTTCATGCCTTATGACAACAATTTTAGCCGCCATTTTGGAGAATATTTTAGTTATTTGTGTTAAACTTGGAAATGTTAACGTGAAAAAAACTGAACCAAACGAAGAAAAAGTAGAAGCAATACATTCTGTGCTTGATCTCATAAGGTTTGTGTCAAGTATGAATAAATATGTTCAAATGTTTATTTTCTGTATGTTTTTGTATGTATGTTTAGGAAATTTTGTTTGTAAAATTAAAGTTAAGATTGTACAGAGCCCAGCGATTATTTACGAATAAATTGTCTTGTTCTTTAAGATAAATCGTATTTCACCACCTACCTATGCTGTCAAAACGACAACAATGAATTGAGAAGAAGATTTAAAAGCTTTGGAATCTTCAATCAAAACCATTAAAGAAGTCATTATGAACAAGAAAGGTACATTGTTCTAAGTATAAAGTACCGTCCCTCAAACTTTCTGTTATCAATCTCTGTATCATTTTATTCCATGTGCATATTATGTCCTTAACATCTTGTTATCATCTTTATACCATCTTTGTACTACCACCATGTGATCCTCATATCATACCATATCATCCACAAACCATCACCCCATCATCTTTGTACTACCACCATGTGAACCTCATATCATACCATATCATCCACAAACCATCACCCCATCATCTTTGTACTACCACCATGTGATCCTCATATCATACCATATAATCCTCAAACCATCACCACATCATCTTTGTACTACCACCATGTGATC